CTGCTCTCCTCCACCCACTGCTTTAATATAATTAAAAAATTGTGAAAGTCAAAGATTCATACTGAGACTGTTGAAGTAAATGAGCAGTAACAGTGAATATGCTGAGAACTAGTGTTCACTGGGGCATAGAATATGGCACAAAAATTGTTCATGTATTTTGCTAACATCTTGAAAACTACATGGTTTTAACTTTCCAGATTGGTCTAGACATTTGGCTAGGTATTCATTTAGGTACTGCCTGTGTGAAAACTGGAACGTTACAGAATCAAACTACTTGTGAGTCTGTGGAGGGTCTGGTTTGCCTTAAGAGCTTATTAATTCAGTGGATTCTGTGCTAGTCCTGGCATTATGGTTATCGAATAGTCTGAATACTGTCTGGATTTCAGCCAGCTAAAAAAATGCTCCAACTGACTTTGATCCAGAACAGGAAATCTTCCATCAGATTGTGTTATAATGGGAGTTGCTGTATGTAGCTAGTTTTGCACCATCCACTTCCCATGTCAATGCCCCTTTCAGACTGGCGGCAGTAAAGCAGCCTGGACTCTTTGTCAGCCTTACAAGGCTCTGTCTAGAAGTAGCTATTGACTTATGTTCATACCACACTGTGTTGATGAAGACTAGGTGATTGGTAATCGCATCAGTTCCAAAAAATGAGAGAATAGTTCTGTATTCATTTAAACTATGTATATAGAAACATTTAGGTCGGAGAAGACCTTTAAGATCACCAAGTCCAACCATTAGTATAGCACTGTCAAGCCCACGACTACACCATGTCCCTAAGTGCCACATCTGAACATCTTCTAAATGTCCTCAAGGGTGGTGACTCAGCCATTTCCCTGGGCAGCCTGTTCCAGTGCTTGACGGCCTTTTCCATGAAAAAATTATCCAGTCTTAATTTGGCACAACTTGAGGTCATTTTCTCTTGCCCTATCGCTTATTACTTGGGAGAAAAGACAACCTCCACCTGGCTACAACCTCTAGTACAAAAAACCAAACACCAGGAAAACAAACTGTACATTTAATGAAGGACTAGTGCTTTATTAGGACAATCCACAGCAACTCCTGCCTGCATTACGCAAGAATGTAATATAGGGAAGATTATTATATTGGGCTGACAATGGTATTTCCAATCACAATGCTGTACTAGCTATACCATCTATTTCCCATTGTTTAATAAACTTAGAGAGTTGATTTTTAGAATTAGTTCATGTAGTTCAGGTGAACTTCCCCAGGAAGCTGATGTACTCAGCATTGGAAGCCTGGATATTTGCTGAAAGGAAAATACATGTTTTCAAGTGGAGCTGTAAGTTACCTATCGTGGCATTTTCAGAAGTACTGTATATAGCAATCCTGTTTATCTCAGATGGAGGGAAAGACCTACCAGAAAAGTAGGAAGCACATTGCTCTTAGAGCACTATACTTTACCTGCTTCTTCTTCCTACTTAGCTGCCAGCTGGTAGGGCGAGCAGCAGTTTTTAACCAAAAACATTCCAATATTTTGGTTTGTTTAGGCTAACCTTGTAGGACTTGTTCTCTAGACAATTCACCAGCTCCTTCTCCAAAGCTGCCTTGGAGCTGCCTTTCTCCAGACTTGCTCCAGTATCTCTCTGTCTTTCTCGTAGTGAGGGGCCCAAAACACTGGACAAAATACTGAACACAGTATTCAGGATCATTGTCCAGATGTTTTTCACGAAAACATTAAATAAGCCTGAAGAAGATGTTAATAGAGATGAGTGTAATGAGGCTGTATGTAATGACTACTCTCAAGCTGGTGACCTTCCTACCTGTTTTGAAGAGTATCCCTGTACAATAGCTCATTGGTCTTTACACCAAACCAAATAAGATGATACTCTTTGGTTTCAAAATAATTTTTCATGTTTCATTATGTCCTTTTTGGCAACTGCAGGCTAAATGATATTTTATCACCATTTTCATTAAGAAAGTCCTCATTAGTCACAGGAAATGGATTCTGCGTGCATCATGGCTTTATGGAAGAGAAGCTTACCTTGTGTTAGTAGTTTAAGAATAAATATATATATATATAGTTCTGTATGAATAACCTTCTGTTTGGTGTGGGGTTTTTTGTTGTGGTGGTGGTTTTTTTGTTTGTTTGTGTTTTTTTTGGTTTTTTTTGTTTTTTTGTTTTTAATTGAGGGTTTGGTATTTTTGAAGAATTGAGAATTAGGATTGGATTTAGGATTGGAGTAACCCCATCAATAGACCAAATAGAACTGGAGTTACGCCCATTTACTTACCTTTTATATGCACAGAAATGTATTGATATTTCATTACTTTATCCCTTCTGTTTCCAGTGATGGACATTATTTTTGCTGAATAGCCAGCTAATTATAAGTACCTACTAGCTTTTAGTGTCCTTAAGATGTCTCTGTACAATACTGGTAGTCTTAAAATTGTAATGGTCCTTCATTTCTTGACACTTTCACTCCAGCTTCTGAAAAGTTGTCTGTCTTCCAAAATATCAGAACTATTAAATAGGCCTTGAGAATGGTCTATGAACCAAAAAAGAAAAAAGAAAAAAAGTCCCTACTTTGTATTGTTCTGTTCCTGGAATGAATTTACCCAAGACTCTCCTTTAAATAGTGATTAAATTTTCTCCAGTTGTCATTTTTTATTGCCCTCTAGAATTTGCATCCTAGTAGATTGGTAGGGTTTCACAATGAAACAAAGTTGTAAATTTATTTAATAGTAAGATACTAATAGCTAAGTAACTGAAAGGAAATTAATATGATAGTGTGCTGGTTGAGTTGGTACTAATAATAGAGACCCTTCTTACGATGAATGGCTTGAGACAAAGATTTGTTTTTTCAGTAACTTGGCGGAGGGATAACTACAGCTTTGCGACTGCAAGAGGTTTTTCTGATAGTGCCAGGGGAAAGCAGGAGAAGGCTGGAGTATGATAGCTCTGGGTTTAGGCACTAGCCATAAGAAAGAGATGCTGAGGTAGATGGTGACTTCTTAGACTAGATGGTTAAAACAATAATGTATGAATAATGTATGAAGTCCATAGGGACTTAGTTCTCGAATCCAGAAGCATCTGGGATGACTTCTGTCCCTATAGTTTCAGGTTATGTTATGTGTGTCTAATCCTGAAAGTTCATAAAATGTCAATTTTATAGACTGCAAGCCTCAAACCATTACCCAGTAGTAGCGTTCTCAGTGAGAACTCAAATGCTACAAAATACTACATGCTATTAGGAGAGTAGGAAGGCATAGCAAATGACTTGCAATAGCAACATTCTGTACGTGAAATGGTTTAGGTAACACAATCATTTGTCTCGTGCTGCTGAGGAATTTCACATCTATTCTACACTGTCTCTCCCAGACCTTGCTTCTCTGTTAAGCCTTATTGAGGGAAAGCTCTTCCTGTCTTGTCATGTGACCATCAGTTTAATGATGAACATGTAAATAAAGCTACTAAAAGCATCTTTACATTCTCTCTCTAATCTTGACTGATCTTTAAGTGCTTCAAAGGAGGGCCAGGTGGAGTTAAAGACTTTCTGAAACAAACTTTCCATTATGAAGAAAGAAATTTTTCTTACCTGATCTGTTAACTGAAACACAGCATAGTAATATAAATGTAACAGAGCAAGCTGAATAGACAGTATCATAATCAAGGCTTTTCTTCACTGTCCTGGGATATAAATGAACCAGATATCAGAGGCCTGTTGACTACAGCTTCCATTTCTAATTTGCAGTTCTATCTCTTTTGTCTTCCAGTTATAACAGTTGCTGCAGTTCACTATACAGGAAGTATTTCATGTAGGCTTGGTATCCAACTTAAATGAACAGATAGAAGATAGGGTGTGCTTATTCTGTAGTGTTCCTGATCTGTGTTAATTTCAAATAAACTTGGACTATGAATGTATGCTTTTGAGATGATAATATAAAGGACAAGTGACTTTGACATGGAAAATTATGTAAGAGGGAAATTGATTTCAGATAATCTTGTCTTTTTAAATACATCAAGTACTCCATGTCTCTATGAGATTAGTTTTTATTAAACAGCTTGAATATATTTTTTTTCAGAAATGGTGAAAGATTTGCAACAGCATGTGAGGTCTACCTGGGCAAATGCCCAAAAGAGATGCAAAACAAGCATATAAAATAAAAAACATACATTGTAGTGAATTTGTAAAAACAGATGAATTTTATCCTTCATAAGAACTAAAGAAACGAATAGACTTCAACGTTGTGGGACTTTTAAATGAATTAAAGCATTTTTATACTAACATCTAAATATTTTTTAAAGATTTTAAGGCTTAGATAATTTCCTTTGTAAAAAAAAAAACCAAAAAACCAAATCTAATGAAACCCTCGTGTGTTTGAAATTTCATAACTAAACTGTCTAGGAGGTCAAAACTGGAATCATAAGCTGGAAGACAAAATTAGCCAAAATGCAGATCAGTGTTATGTCTCATATAGATTTCTCTCTGTGACTGAGGCCACATTGATGTAAGGGGGCTGTATGAGTCCAAAGAGCAGATTGGAAAAAAAAAAAAAACAAACCAACAAAAAACAACCAAGCAAAAACTAGACACCAAAAAAACCCCAAAATGTGAAAAGTTAAAAATGCAACTTTTTTTTGTCGCCTTTCCTATAGCTCCTTTTCCCCCAACTCTGATACCCAGTAGTGGGAAGTACATGAAGTAGCATACCTGATTACTGCATTATAGATTCTTTTACTGAGTTGCTTTTTGTGCTCTCTTTGTGCACATATTCATTACCTTCCAGAAATTTTTGAAAACAAAGCAATCAGTAGGTGTGCTGCACTTAAGGTTTTAAGAGACGTGCTCATACTTGACTGTCTAAACTGAAGATGTGCATTGGGGACTGAGACTTTTTTCTGTTTGCTTTGTCTGATGATTTTGTGGGAATGGGAAGATGGTACAAGAGGATAGACTAAAAAATGTTTTTTAAATTACTGTCACTTTTATCAGGAGCGCTTGAATATTTTCACTAAAACTGGTACTTTTTTGCAGCTTCTTGAAAAACATAAGAATACAGAAAGTATGGTAGAGCTACTTGAACTGTACCAAATGGAAGATGAAGCCTACAGTAGCCTTGCAGAAGCTACCACAGAGCTCTACCAGTACTTACTGCAACCATTCCGGGATATGAGGGAACTTGCAATGCTTAGAAGACAGCAAATAAAGGTATGGTAAAGGTAATCGAGCTTCTAATTAGCTGGGAAATCCTGCTTTTTAGTTGCTATTTACTGGTTTTATTGTGCAGTATATGAAGGCGTGTTTTTTCCACTCAGCGTTGACCCTGTTTTTCTGGGTTCTCCACTCAGATGAGTGCTTTTGAAGAGTGAGAACATCTGACATATGTAGCTAACCACCACTTCTTTATCTTACTGTCTTCTCCTGTTCAAATGCATAGCTGAACTAAATAAGTCAGACTTACACTTTTGTGGTTACTGGGAATATTGATTAATACATCAAGTAGAAATATATGTATACTATTCTTAATTCTTTTAAAAGATTACATAGGAAGTTACTTTTCATTTTAGTTTTCTAAAATAATCTGATAAACTGTGGGAAGTCAGTAGCTTTTTATCTGATGTTGTGAAACAGTTAAACATGGAACCATTTTCCAAGTATATAATTTGTTGTAACACTTCAACAGTATATTTTCCTAAGTGCTAGAAAAGTGTAACCAGCTGAAGAATACTCCGTTTTGGTAAAACTGTTAAGAATGAGTATGCTCATTTTATTTTAAAATAATTCTAATTTTGAATACTTAGCCAAAATTAACAAATTTATCTTTATTGCATCTTGGAAGTACTTTTGATAAAATTATTAGTTCCAATGCAGATTGTTAAGACTGCGGCCTGATTCTAAGCTAAAATGGTTTTGTTTCATTTAATCCGTATTGCAAATCACATTTTATCTCAGCTATGACAAGCTTCTCTGGTTTGTTCAGTTAGCCAACATTACTTTTACTCGTTTCAACTTAAAAATAGTGTTTGTCTCTGGTTTTAGAGTATAGAATGAGGGAGGGAGGCAAAAGGATTTACGATTCCCAAACTAGTTTTATACTGACATAGTGCTATGTGCCTAAAGTAATTTTTCTGAAAGCTCAGGAATATGAAACGAACTTGGTGTTATAATGTGATAATATTTGAACAAAGAGTGCTTTTTCTTGTCCTGAAAGTTGAATATTGCTGCACAGAGAATTAGCATGAATATTTTTTCAGATATATTACGCAGTTGAAGGTTATGAATACTTCACTTATTAAAAAGCTTTCTTCAAAGCACAGTGAAATAATTCCTGTTTTATTTGAATTTGAGCAGAGAAAAGATGATTTTTTTGTTCTTTTGTCAAATAAGAAAACGTAAATATTACAATAAGAAGGAAATATGGATTTAGAGTTGTTCTGGTTTTTTAAACATCAGTGATCTCTTTAACTGCAGTTCTAAATACCTAATTTCATACTTTTCCTGAAAGAGTAACCTTGGTAAACTTTAGAGCTTTCTTCTGTAGTTGATTATTTTAGTTGTACATGGTTGTACATAATGTAATTTATGTTTTCTTCTTAACTTGGGAATTTTTGAATTAAAAGCTTGGTCATTTTCATTCATCTATATTATGTGATAGAGAAAGATACTATCTCTTGTTTTTCGTTTCATTGTTTGAGAGAAAGCAGTACTTGTATGTATGCTGACAAAATATATATTACACTGTATAGCTAGGGTTGAAGAATTGCTTTATAAATAGAACTTATGCATTAATTGGTTTGTATTTTTCTGCATATGTTTTCTGTCAGGCTTTAACATTTTAGGCATTTTCTGTTTTAGGTATCTGGTTTTGATTTGAGGGGAAATTGTTTTAGTTTGATTTTGACTTGGGTTTTTTTTTTATGAATTTGGGAAGTTTTAACTTTTTAATCAGTTTCATTTTGTCAGTTTTCACAGTGAGTTTAGAAAAAAGTTATTTTCATTGTCTGTAATCTTTGAGAAGAGTGTTTTGTGTTCTCTCCTTTTGGAGCAAGATACAAAAATTGAAATATATATCTTCTGGGTGGTAAATTTCTGCTGTTGCTGTGAAATTTAAGCAAGAGACAAACCTAGAGGAGACAAGGGAGAAACAAACACTAAGTTCTGCCTGATCAGTGAAGGCTTATTAGAGTAGGACAGCCGTATTGTATGCAGATTCCTTCTTTGGACGAAACCTCCACCAAACAACAAACCACAAACAAAACAACCCAGAATAGAAGTTCATAACAAAGTTAAAGCATGTAGAAGCTTGGAAACGTAGACTAATTTTGTCCATTATAGACAAGATGGAATCTTGTTTTGGTTTTATATTTTAACTTGATCTTAAGTTTCATGTGTATTTTGCATCATTTAGTGTAAAGGATGGAACATTTAATATGTGTGAGGAGTCAAAAAGTCTATTGCGAAGTACTTAAATACTTCTGAATTTGGAAAACATAATTTAAAATGTGTAAGATCATGAAAGGAGAAAAGAATGATGACTTTTGAAATATCACTCTGGAAAACTGACTTCTGCTGCAATTTCTACTGAATTGTGGACTAGTCATCTGACTCTGGAACAGTGTGTTCAGTAATGATACACTTCTTTTTGTTTGGGCTTCCAACATCAGAAATGTAGTTTTGTTTGTATGAATACTTAATATTTGTAAGTGCTGGTCTTACAAAGGGGGACTTCTCTCTAAGCATATCAGAATACTTACCAGATGCCACGCATTCTTGAAAGAAACAAGCACTGCAAGCACAGCTGTGTTTTGGACTTACATTTTTATCAGGGTGATATGAAAACAATACTGCTCACTCCAGTACCTTTATGGAGGACATATAAATAAAAGCCAATTTGTGATTATGGTATTATCAAATTGAGAAGTGCTTATCAAAGAAGCAACACTGTGCTTGTTTAAAGATTAAAATTGTGTTTAGTATGACCATATTTTGTAAGGTAAGTTTGAAAAGTTGTATTGATAAACCAGCCAAACAGTCAGAACTGTGATTACGTTCTGAATGCCTGAGAAGGTATAATAAAGGAATTGAAGACAGTATATATATATATACATAAAAGCTGTGTTGAATGTTTATAGGCATTTCTAAATTTAATTATGAACTGTTGCTGGTTTAGATGTAATAACAAGTGAAGACATTCAGCCAGTGAGTTTTAGCACGTTGATTTCCCTTTATGGGTTACTGGATCATTTCCTCTGATTTCAGACTCTTGAATGCAACACAGACATGAGGCAAGTGAAACTTGATATTTAAATGCTGTGTTCTATGTTTTGGGTTATCTGTATATTCTTCCAAGAACTGGGAAGGCCGCTATGAACTTAAAACCACAGGACATGCTCTTTTGCTAAGAATCAGACTCCTTAAGAACGAAAAAAAAGCTGTAGTATCTTGATTCTAAGAATGTTTCATGGGTATACCCACAAATTTTTCATTAATCAGAGTACATCATTCCCGTGTGGAAATTTAGAATTTTTTGCATGTGAAGAACACATATTACCATAGGCAGAAAAGTGAGAGATAGTAGGCATGAGTAGCTGGAAACACAAAGGTGAAATATGTCTGAAATTTGGAAGAAGCAAATTTCTTTTCGAAGAAGCACCAGTGCTCTGATGCCTTTGATTACAGAAAGTTTGATCTAAATTTTGTTAGATCCTCCATATATAGAACAGTGTTCTTCTGAAAGTTTGGAGGGGAGGCACCGGTTAGTGGTTGATATTTGGCTATAGAACTTACTGACAGGTTAATATGATCAAGCTTCAAGTCCTTTAAGACTAAGTTATGAAGTGTTCTTTGATGAAGGATATAAAAATCTGGTTATTTAGAAAAGAAAAAAAAATATTTCAGAGGAGTAACTTCTTGGGCAAAACCCCAAAGCCATTTGGATCTGTACAGTTGTATTTACCAGTCTTCATACAGAGAAAGAAACTACCTTGCTACTTAGAATTTTTGTGGCCTTGTAATTCTGGACAGTACTTCATAGTCATGATGAATAGGCAGTGAGTTTGATTAAACTCAAGGTGAAATCAGTGGGAGACTTTTTTTTTTTTTAATTTTTAATTTTATTTTTAATGTCTTTTGTATTAAAGATAAAATGTAACAAACTGTTTCACAATCTACGTGTAGATGCCAACAGAACTTTGACACAAGCACTGAGTTGGACTGTATTTGCTTAACTGAGAACTGATAATACATTTTTACAGGTAAAATACTACAACCACCATTACCTCTCAGTTCATCTCCAGGAAATGAGAGTATTAAAATGTTATCATATATTAAATATATTAAACATACTCTTAGCTTCATTGAATACATAATAATTATTTTTCATCAGGGCTAGGCTTTGCAAATGAAGATTTGAGAGGGGCTCTACCCACGCTTGCTACAAGCGCACTGATGGCTAAAAAGGCCAATGCGAGATAGACAAGTCCGGTTGCAGAAGGCACAGCAGAAAGACTCCCCAGGTGATACAGACAAGACGCGATTCTTTCTGCGTTGTCTTTTCTCCTCGAGAGTGATCCTGCGTGTGTTCTCAAAAGCAGCAGCAGCGTTATAGATGGTGTGTCTCCAGGCCTCCCGATTGGAGGCCAGGGTAGACCAATGGTGGTGATCAATATGGCCAAGGCTGAGGGATTGTTTCAGGGTGTCCTTGTATCTCCTCTTCGGGGCTCCTCTCTTGCGGTAGCCAGTGGCAAGTTCCCCATAGAGCACGATCTTAGGGAGGCAGCAGTCCTGCATCCTGGAGACGTGCCCTGCCCAGCGCAGCTGTGTTCTCAGCAGCATGGCCTCAATGCTCGTGACTGCTGCCTGTTCAAGGACAGACGTGTTGGTCACATAATCCATCCAGTGGATGTTTAGAGTTGTACAGAGGCATATTAATTCACTTGAATGTGGGGATGTTTTAAGGAATTTGAATACATTAATGCTGAGGTCTAGCACTGGAAATTAGAGACTAGAGCAGGTTATATATTGACAATACATCATATCCTGTTTTTAAAAGTTTTAGAATGCTTTATTAGTTTGTTGTACTTCCCTTTCAAGTTCCTTTACATGTATTCTGGTATAGTTGAAAATAGAACTCTGGCTTAACTGTATGTGAATTTATTCATTTGTTTAATACATTATGGTAAATTGAAGTAGTGAACCTTATAATTAAT